CATACTCTATTTTCTTTTTCCAGAGGAACTGTTTGGAACAAACAATTTTAATTCTTTGCATTGTGCAGGTATACTGTCATTGTTCTATTATGGAGAACTGAAGGAACACTGCGTAGCACTGAGCAATTTTTTTTTCAAATATTACATCTTGCAACAATACCTTCGTATATCCTTCTTCTCATTACAACTGGTACCAGTAGTTGTGAGATCCTGTGATAGAATTTTTCCGTGATGTAGTCGGTACATAGGCTGTTCTCATACGAAATATAAAATCGATGAGTAGCTGAAAACATTCCGGTGAAAATCGTTCAAGGCAGGGTCCGGGCTCATTTGATGTCCCTACGTCCTCTTCAGATAGCGTAGCCCTACGTGGATGGAGGACGTACCGGTTTATGATTTTGAATTCATTTTTGAACAGCCCAAAATACGAGAGGATAGACCAGGTGAAGAGTTGGTTGCCCCTCCCAGCTGGCGTCACAACGCCCAACGTTCATTTCCAGTGGTTGACCGATGGTGTGGTTGTTCCTACTAAGGGTCACTACTAAGCCTCTCCACCCTCTCCACTTCGAATGGTGAGAGTGGTGATAAGGGATAGCTGACACCAGCTGATGAAACCAGTACAGCCATGCCTTCGCTCTGCCTTATGCACGTACAATCGCAGTTGAGCATGGGGCTCTACATAGGGGATTTCCTATGATTTTTTTTCTGCCATTTTCTTCAATACGGAATCATTTGCTACCTTATTATTAATAGATGATCCGCATAACTCATCGTTTTCAAACGGAGGTCAGCTTTAACACACTAAAGGCGCCATATACACACTACCTGGAGTACACGAACAACGACCTTTCGGCGAATCGTGTACTCCCGGAGCACTGCGCCTTTTCGTTTTTGTAATTTTTTTTTCTTTCTTACTTAAAAATTAGATGCATATAATGGCAGAACAATATTGAAATAGTATTAACACGTTCCAGGAGGCCTGTAATACCGGGAAACAACCGCAAAAACTCCTCTTTCGGCTTCTCTTGTACTCTTGGGAGTACACGCGCCTTTTTGCGGTTTTCTTTTGATTTTTCTTTTTTCACTAGAATTTATGTACGAATAATAAAACAGATAACAAATAGTACAAAGTAATGCTACGAGCAAGTTTTGTGTATCTATTTTTCGAAGAAGTTGATTTTGGAGAGGAATTTGACTTAAATGACGTAGTCATCGAAATCATTTCCCACATCAAAGCCAACTTCTTTCGTGTGGAAGGAAAAAGACAAGAATATTATAATTATTCATTATTATTATTATTATTATTATTATTATTATTATTATTATTATTATTATTATTATTATTATTATTATTATTATTATTATTATTATTATTATTATGTATATTATTGATCTACTATGTATTACTTGCACTATTATTTGTGTATAATTTCCGATAAAGATCCTCCCCGTCCAAAGCCAACCAACATCGAAAATATTAAAAAGCCACATTGTCCACCAGAAGCTGCGCAAACTTATTCAATCATTTATGCAATCATTTATGATGATGTAGCTCAGCGGGAGAGGCTCCTGAATCTCGGACTTTAGCAGCGGTAATTTCTTGTCGGCATATCGAATCTCGTAACAGATTTTCCTAGGTGGTCTCGAGACGACAACGCAAGCTGACAGAGGAAATTGTCCCATAAATAACCTGCTCTACGCCGTTTTCGAATGACGCATCCACCACTTTTCAAGTATGTGGAGTGTAACTCGTGAGTCAGGAAGAAAAGCACCATCAGCACACCTTCACCGTGTTCCACTGTTGGTGGGAGATTAGCTGTATCAACTGAGCAAGGAGCTAGAACAACTAACCTATGAGGGCATCGTCATCACAGTTTTCTTTGCATGAGAATCGTCGCGTTTCGTTGCCGACGCTGAACTGTTCCTCGCACTTTCCTCTAACCGTTACTTCAGTATGTTGGCCTAGTTCCCTTCAATACACGACATTGAGCATCAATCCTCAGTACATCAGGGAAGGTTCCAGTCAAAAGCGGATAGAAGTGCTTCGGGGTGAAACCGCTTTGAAAATTTGGCAAGCGAAGCGAAGAAGTATTTGATAGCAATTCTCTACTGACTTGATAAGTTTTTCTCGTTTCGAAGGTGTCCTGCAATTCGAGACAAATATAAGTGACCCTCTCGTCTTCCTCTTCAAAGAGTCGGCAATCTGAAAAATAGATAATAGATCAAGGATAAGGATATTAAATAGACAGAGAACTTTACTGTTAAATCTGCTCAGAAGGTTTCAGGATGGCTTCAGGTAATAGTGACTATCAAATAGATAATAGCGAGTATCAAATGGCTTCAGACTGCTTTTAACGTCAATCGAACACCAGCAGATCTGTCAGCTCAAGTGGTGGAACTTCCTCCTGGAAGCTCTGTACCAATAGAATGGAAGGAGGGCGAGCGACGAGATAACTGGAGACCGCGACGAGATAACTGGAGACCCCGTTCGTTGAGGAAATACAGGAACGAGGAGTGGTACAAGACGGTATATCGAACATATCTAGCTCTGACGGTGAAGAGCTGGAAGAATAAGAATAGAGAATAGAGCATACATGACACCTGCAGACAATCTGAGACAGTAGTAATGTGACTTGAACTGTAAGTGACCGTACGTATCGTAACGGTAGTAACGATGGATAGGGTTGAGATGTCTCGCGATAGGGTTGAGATGTCTACCTGTCTGTCCATCCTCGCAATTGAACTCTCAACCAAGGAAGATGGACAGACAGGGAGAGATAGCGCGAAATGGAGAGACGCAGGCGATCGCGATAAAAGTCCTGCAGACTGGCCACCTCTATACTCCGAGATAAGGAGTTTTTGCGCAACCGTTGTCGGAAAAGTTACGGAGTAAGGTTGGGATCGTGGCGAGACACAATGAGAGAGAGCGTGACAGAATGACAAAAGTCTACCTAGAGTGTGCGATTCGAGAGGGTAGAGAATGGGAAAGAATTGGGTCATCCATCGGATATCAGTCAATTATTTCCAATAATTTATTGATCTTTTTAATCTTTCTTTTGCGGATCATGTTCCTCCACATGCTGAGAGTGTTTTTCTTCCCGCCAAAGTTGAGCAAAATATACTGTGTTAGTAAGAAAGACGTGGTTTGTAGGAGAATGAGGCTGGTGAAACAGTACTAGTGCCCGCTTAAGAGAAGTCCATGATTTGATATTCATAGAAATGTTCAGTCGGTGTGGAACACCTTCCTAGGTTTCTGTAAAATAACGTCTTGCTAGATAATAAGATTAGTTGCCATCCTTTATACAGTCTCTTAAAAGTCGCATTGTTTCCTGAACATCGTGTGTTTCCTTGTTCGTAATCAGTTCTTCGCTTGCTCTGCGAGAACAAAGCCACAGTGGTGTTGTAGTGATGGTTTTTTGACAACGATGCTGAGCAATGGCGAAGTTTTGCAAATAGCCTCCTGAATAGTTTGCAGTGTGTCGCCTCGCACATGCGTCGTTCGCTGTTCGCATAACTGCGAGGAACCATCACTTCTGATCGCGAATTTTAGGTGGATTACTACCTTCAAAAGTCGGCACTCCAAAAAGGAAAAAATGAGCACTATTACCAAATGAAAGCTCTCTATGTCTGTTCCTTCATTCACTGAAACATACTTGCTGCTGTGTTACAAACAAACGAGGCTGTTTCTTGTCCTCAGCAGCTAACGGCACGAATTGCCCATAAGGGTAGAAGTAGCGTGAGTCTCGTCTATACGTCATAGTGGCGTCTGCTGTACCTCCTTTGTCTGAGAATCAAATTGCAACAGAGCTATACCCCATCGTGGCGGCTACGTTTTGGAGGGATATGTTCAATTCTGGACAACTGTCTTTATCTGAAACCAGACAAGATAGCACTTAAAAAGCACACAAATCACCAATCCCATTTCATCTTTATGATGTACGAAGCTACCCTTACACATCTCATTGTCAGAGATGTGGATGGTCTACATTTACGCATCGAGAAACCGACACATTAAGATAGTACATTATAGAGAAGAGTGATATTGGTGTTGTATCGGTATATCCAAGAATACAAGGTCCTATCCAACATGGCATATACTAAACGTTATCAAAGGATGATTCCCTGCTGGTTATTCAATCCTCACCATCGCTGAGATAAACTTGTTCTCACATGCTTGACGACGGCTGAGTGTTTCACTGCCAACAGCCCTCCCTTATACATAAGTCTCTGGCAATCCTTCGTGCCTCACAACCATGATCACAACGCGGCGATGAGACAGAATCGGCGACGTATATTCTATGCCGGAGAAGGGACTATTCCTTATGAACATGGCGTAGGGTGCGCTTCTGATGAGTTTCTCTTTGTGACAACGGTCAACCTCTCTTGCGCTTAACAAAGGCGTGATTGCAATCACCCCAGAACAAGCGTAGCCCTCCAAATTCTTGAGCAAGGGTGCTACTGGCCGATTGGTGTGCGCATTGCATCTCCACCACCTCCCCTGACTGAAAGGGCGCAAAGGGTCGTTTCTAAACATTCATCACTCTCGCGACTCTTGTTTGAAATGTAGTGCTGCAGTAGAGCTACAGTAGAAGAGTGGTATCTAAACACCTCTCGTGAACATCTCTTGCGATGGTGGAATTCATCAAAAGTCAAAAAGATTTGCATGAAAAGGTATCTCACCCGATAAAGGGCAGATCCAACATGATGTGGTGACTCCATGAGCATATAAACTCTTAGTTGTCTGGGTGTCACTGGTGGCATATCAGAGAGATTCATGTCCCGTCCATGGATCACATATGCCGAAGCGTTCTGCTGGCTGTACAGGCATAATAAATAATTATGCCACTATTGAAATACTCCACCACTACCTCCGAAAATTCGGGGAAATTTCTGCTGAAACTTCGCCTCAGAGTTTATTCGATGCCCTGGTCAGGGTGGTGACCATATGATGACCATTTCTGGCCTTGGCGCAATATGGTGTCAATAGGCGCCGGTTTATCGCCAATACTCCTTCTAATTGTCTCGCTGCAACCTACTTTTGGGAGTAGTCGAAGGTCCTGATCACGAACACGATATCCATTTTTGGCGCTGGCACCAATTGACGCGTGTAAGCCCCCATTCGACGCCATCACTTTACCACTGATATCGATGAAAATTCGCATGATAGGATTCTTTTAATATCGCGATCATGAGCATAGTACCCATTTTTTGACAACAGCGCAATCGAGCGCTCCACTAAGGCGGAGTGTGGAAAAGGAGTGATTCCCTCGCCAATAGGTGCCAATTTCGAGCCATTACTTTTTTCAGCGGTTTTATTGGAAGGCTCAGCCTTGGCAGAACGCAAATGATCAGAATGCCCTCTATTGGCGTTAGCGCCAATAATGAACGCCGCATCCCTAATCAGGATGCAAAATAGCCCAGGTATGCTGCTTTCCATCGATTTTGGTGAGGTAACTTAGTGGCATCAAATTGAGGCGCCAAATGGCAAAAGCGCCAAAACTGGACATTATGGTCGCGATCAAGGCCCTCAACCACCCCTGAAACAGACCTGCAATAAAACCGGTAAAAAAAGTAATGGCTCGAAAGTGGCACCTATTGACGCCATATTGCATGAAGGCCAAAAATGGTCACCAGATTCGCTATCAGGGTGCCGATAAACTCTATAGGCGGAATCCACGAAAAAAAATTGCTTCATCTCTGGAGTCGTCATAGTGGAATTTAGCCGCCCTATTTCCCGCAGGAAACGAGAGGCACTTTTGCAAGTTTCTGTTTCAGTTTCTGTTTCTCAGTTTTTGCATAGCAAAAATGATATGAACGATATGATTCGCAACCGAACGATACCGATTTCATTTTGAGTAGCAGGAAGAAAACGCAGGTTACTGTTAGGCGCTGAATAGCACTCAAGGAATATGTTATTGAGTGCGAAGAGTGCGAACGTGAGCGGCGAAAAGAAAGAGTGCGAACGTGATGTTGCCAATCGCTTCAGATGTGCAATAGGTGGCTTTTGAGGAGGGAAAAGAAAATCTTTGTCGATTCAGCTAAGGGGACCTGCGTGATGAACACCTCGATGCGTTAGTAGCAGGGACATCGCTGTTGGGAAATCAAAAATAGGGGGGATCGTATTTGGCCGTCAGGAGAGAGGGGTCGTATTTTGGGCTGGGAGAAATTTGTTTTGATAGTTGATTTTTTCTTGCTTTCCGGATGTTGTAAAAAGAGGGGGGGGGTCGCACTTGGTCATTTTTGGTAGGGGGGGGGTCCGTGTTTACGTTTCGGCCTCCTAGGAACGTTGGTTCACTTTTCGTAATTTCCCTGTTTCATGCTTACTATACTATATACCCCCCCTTTCCCCCCCACCCCCGCTCGACAGCAAATTTTTGGGCAAAAGTAGGAGAGTTTTCGGGAAAATTTGGAAAGTGGCTGAAACTTAGGGAAAATCTGAGAATTGGTAATGGGGGGTCGTATTGTCTCGCGGCTTTTCCCTGTTTCACATGTGCTATTTACCCCTCCCCCTTCCCCCCTCCTCTCCCTCCCCCGCTCGACGGCTCGATTCGATGAGGAGGGACAGAGGGCCGGAGGGAGGTGGTCCTACCAATCCCCCCCAAAAAAAGGGGGTCGTACAGACTCGACTAAAATCCACAACCAGTGATGTGCCCTGGTTACTAGCCAGTTGTAGACTCTCTAGCTGATCGAGGCAGTAGGAGAAAATGTATTGCGCGCAATTATACAACCGCTCTGGCCACTCAAACCCCTTGAATGAACTACTGTAATTTCAAAACGTGTCACATCGTTCTATAGGTGCCCATATTCACAAAATACCCTCCAGCTACGGGAAAAAACGCGGTAATTAAAGCGTGTCATTGCTACGTAATGCCCAAGAGTCGATGCTGTGACAAAATGGAAACAAACTCACAAGAGGTTCATCTCCTCTCTGTTAATGAGATGACATTTGTACATGCAGTTTTCAAGAGTTGGAAGCAATAGTTTCTTCAAGTCCGCTTGGAAAAAACGCGTCCAAACAACAATCAGAGGAATACTCTGAAAAACGGTAACCATATCAGTTTGATTTGGTATTAAGTCATATCAAAAGATGAAGGTGCCTCCAATACACAAGCACAGTTTGGCATACATACACATTCATATTGAAAGAAAGGTTCGGATTTTGAATAGTGTATGGTTTCTGCTAAAAGGTATAACGATGATGAATCCGAAGAGTTTCCGAAGATAACTGCGCCGAAGTGTCGACTGAAAATGTCACCTTGCTGAAATACGAT